TCTGAAGTTGTCCTGACAACGTCGCAGTATCTTTTTGAGTTAAAGGAAACTCAACAGATTGATTAAAACTCATGCCCGATACTTCAATGTTTGGAAGTACTGAATTTTCTTCAATCTCATATTCATCTTGCACCCCATACTCGTTAATATAAGGGTTGAATAAATCTGTGGCGTTAATGTTCACGGTAATGGAACCGTGAGGATTTGTACGCTGCTGTTTTCGCCTCTCAGCCCTCTCCTCAGCAAGCTGCTCATATTCTGCTCTTATTTCCGCTGGTGTTTTAGTACGTTGGACTATTTCCCAACCTTCTGTCTCTAGTCCTTTTACCCCTAAATTATCATAAATTGCTCTTTGATGAGGATCTGATAATACTAAAATGTAATAATAATAATAAATTAACTATCCATTAGTACATTTATTAAAAACTTAAATATAGCAAAAGATATTGCTTATAAAATATTACTATACATAAAGATCCAAATGAGCTATTTACCTTCATATGCCTTTTTTGTCTTATTAAACAGTATTTCAGCTTTCTGCTTCTTTTCAGGATCAAGATGTTTATCAGGATGGTAAATTCGGCTTAGCCTTCTGTAAGCATTGTTAATCTCTTCTTTGGTAGCCTTATGAAAATTATTTAGTTAGCAGTTAGTTTATTTTAATTAATTAGAACAAACTCACCTCCTTAGAAATATTTAAAAAAGCATAGTAATCATCTTGTAATAATGCACTTTCGTCATCACTATCAAAATCCATAATGCCTTTTCACTGAAAATATTAGTTATTTAAAAAAGACGTCATGAGGTTTGCTTATGATAGTAAATCACAAATTTAACTGAAATTAAATGAATGAATTCACTGCCCAGCATGAAATAATTTTTTCAAAAGAATAAAAACGGCAATTTTGTCAAAAGTTTAAAAAACAAAAACTACCAATGTCGCAGATTTTCGACATTCAGTGTTAACACAGCAGAATATTGTCAAACAAAAATAATGTAAGTACTGTTATTGTTAAAAGTTCTGTAATATATTAATGTACAACTTACCGAATGTTTGCACTACGGTTTGTTCTATATGGAAAAAATATTTTACATAAATAACGATTTTTTTTTATTGAAAATCGAAAGGTAATTTAATATATTACTTGTCCTATTAAAATGAATGAGATGAATAAGATGTTACGTTCAATAACGTAAATAATAACTTATTTTATCTATTCTTTTGAATTACACAACCCGACATTTTACAATTTTTAGGTTAGTACAGGTTATTTTTTTGATACAAGTGGTAAAGGACGGAACTAGTACAATTATTAAAAAATGATAACATTTTTAAAATAACGCTCAGAACATAGATAAAAGAGAATTATTTGAACTTCTCATCAATAATGTCCTTTGCACAAATTTGTAGAATGTGCTTAAAGAAAAATAATGACTTAAAAGATATTTTTATGGTGGAATTATTAGGAGGACTACTAATTTCGATAGCAGAAGCTCTACATACGTTTATTTCAGTTCAGGTTGTATGCCACTTTTTTAAAGAATAATTATCACATTATTTAAAGGTTCTAGATTGATACAAATGATGGACTTCCTCAACAAATATGTGTGGAATGTATAAACAGATTACGTGAATTTTATTCTTTTAAAAGAACATGTGAAGACTCTGATAAAAAATTAAGAATCATAAAAACTGACTTAGAGATTGCAGACAATGATACTGACTTAATAAATGATACAAATGTACGTGGTAACTATTAATCAATTAACTATATCTAATTATCAATAAAATTATTGTATATTTTAGAGTATTGAAGATGGTAGCAACAATAAAAAGAAACATTGTAGGAAATACATTACAGTATCATATTCAAATAAGCTGTAAGTGAGTTGAAATATTTATGTTGTTTCCTTATTCTTATTTTATTTCAATATTTTATGAAGATGGCAGAGATTAGAAGATAAGGAGAATTCTGGTCAGGACTTTAATGATCAGAAACGAAAGAACTTAGTTAAACTAAATGAAAAGAAATCTTGTAAAAATAACACATGTTTTACATGTAACAAAAGTTTTAGATTTGCCAGCATTTTGGAAAGACATAAACTTGTACACACTGGAGAAAAACCGATTTTGTGTAATATTTGTGGTTGTAAATTTACTCAAATGTCATATTTAAAAATACATTCTCTAAAACATACAGGAGAAAAACCATATAAATGCAGTGTTTGTGAAAAGAGTTTTGCTGCAAGAGGAACCCTAAAGAGTCATATAAGAACACATACAGGAGAAAAGCCGTTTGTGTGCAAGATATGTGGAAAACTTTTTCCACAGTCTGGGTATTTATCATCCCACATAAGAATTCACACTGGAGAGAAGCCTTTAGAATGTAAAGTATGCTTGAGAAGATTTAATCAAAGTAGTAGACTGGTAACTCACATGAGAATACATAGTGGAGAAAAACCATATTCGTGCTCCTATTGCGGGCGTAATTTTGCTATCAAGGGAACACTGACCAAGCATATTAGAACTCATACCGGCGAGAGACCATATATTTGCAGCATTTGCGGACAAACATTTGCACAAAATGGAACTTTATTAACTCACATGAAAACTCACAAGGATTTAACTACAACAAACAAATAACAATAAATGTACACGATTTTAAATGTATTTTTAAATAAAAACTAATATAAAAATAAACGGCAATTGGGAAAAAAAATGACAACTGACGACTGACAATTAATTACCTAACCTCAAATTTTAGACGAAAAAAAAAGTACGGTTAATTTTGTATGTTAAAGCTTACCGGAAAACTATATTTAAATAAATGAGTGTTGTATTAAGCTTTGTACTACTAATTTAAATAATTAATGTATTTTCTGGTGTGTGCACGTGTTTTATGACTTTTTGTAAATGGCATCAGATTCTGAATCAAACAGAAGTGTTAGTCCTGTTGGTCATACAACGGCACCCACACCAGGGTACAATTTAGACCGGTCTCGTTCTAATTCTCCTAATTATGATAATAATGCACATAACAATCGTTCGAGATCTTCTTCAGTAAATTCAAATGCATCTGAAAGATCTCAGAGTGGAGTTTCAGAAAGATCTGGATCTGCCGCCTCAAATCGGTCGGAATCTAGGAAATCTAGATCGCAATCAAGAAGTGTAAGATCAAACCGTACCCCTTCAAATGAATCACAGAAATCAAGGTCAGTTTCAGTTCAATCTAACAGATCTTCTGGGTCAAACCGATCAAGAAATTCCTCAATAGCATCAAACAGGTCAAGATCACAATCAGCAGTTTCTGAAAAGTCTATAGAAAGTGGTAAAAGTAAATCTCAATCACCACAATCAAATCGGTCCCATTCTGTTGCATCTAACAGGTCAGGATCTGTTGCATCTAATAGATCTCGATCAGCAGCCTCAAATAGATCAAAATCTCCAGATTCAAATAGATCTGGATCAGCAGCTTCAAACAGATCCAGATCGTCATCTGTGCACTCTAATAAATCTGCACCGTCACAAAAATCCAGATCACCATCTGCAGATTCCAACAGGTCACGGTCACGTTCTGCTGTTTCAATCAAATCAAGATCTGCTGAAAGTTCCCATAGTTCAAGATCTCACTCTGTAGGTTCACGTAGGTCGAAGAGTGCAGAGTCAAACAAATCTGGGTAAGAATCTTTAATTTTTTTTATTACACACAATTTAAAATAGGTTACTTTGTAGAAGAAAAACTCCTGATAGTAGATCAAATAGCCCCAACCTACAAATTGATGCAGGCTCACCAAGTGACCATGAAGACCAGAAACGTAAAAGAGATAGTTCAGAAGAAAAAGAAACCAGAAAAAAGACTAAAATCCTTTCCGATAGCGAAAATGAGGGAGAAAATGAAAATGGGAAGAGTAAGATAACAATGGTATTTTAATTTAAACATTATTCTTACAAATTCTTGATATTAAGGTGAAGAACCTAGTGCTGCAGCACTGTTCGGAGATGCTGACGATATAAGTAGTGAAGAAGAAAAGGAGAAGGAAAAGGCAGTAGAAAAAAAAGACGATATGGACAAGGAAGGGGATAGTGAAAATGAAGCTCCAGAGAGACGTTCTGAAGATGAAGAAGAAAATGAACAAAGAGCTATAAACGAAGATGTACGTTTAACAGGAAAATGGTTATAAAATAAGCAACTAAATTTTGTTTTAGGAAGAGGAGAAAGAAGTGGAAATACCAGAAACGCGAATCGACGTGGAAATACCTAAAATTAGTTGTGATCTAGGGAGAGACATACATTTNTAATAATAGTAATAATGTTAACTATGATGAATGTAACTTAATTTTAAACGTAACTTATGTAATTATTTATCTTTTTTGTTTAGCTTTTAAGTAATTAAGTAATTTGGCATCATACCTGCATCTAAATAATTTTACGAATTAAATAAATTTGACTGTTATAGCACACATTTAATCTGAAAGAAATGCAGTCTCACCTTAGTATGATTATGTAATTCCAATTTACTGTCCTTAACCAGACATTGTAAGGGTATTGTTACATCCAGAATTTCTTCTGCAAAATCACCTGAATCCCTATCTGAAAAGATCACAAAAATATAGAAATATACACTACTTAACTTGTTAAGTCATAAAACGTACTGTTACTTCTCAGGGCTTTTCCATAAAGGGCCTTTTCAATGACTAGTCCTTTCTTTGCATCTTCGTCTCTTACTATCCGAGCATATGTTGCTGACATAAGTTCGACAGCGGCCTGCGCCTCCTTTCGCTTCTCCAGTAATTTGGTGCGATTATTTTGCTTTTCCGTTTCGGCCCTTTTTGCCTCCTGCTCTTTCAAGAAAGGTTCGACTAGACTTTTTTTTATTACTGCATACACTATAAGAGGCACTATGGTACCATAAAACACAGGCGCGGGCATCACTTCTTCGCACAAATGAATCGGAAAAGAGTAAACTTGATTAGCTCTGGTTAATCTGCAAAACAACATATGTAATTTAAATAAAAATTAAACAAATAAATGAAAAATTATAAATAATAACGAATTGAAATTACTTTATTTTGAGTTTAACTCCAGCAGGAACTCCAACAGCGACAGCCGCTGCTAGTAAACTATGTTTGGACACCTTCTTTTCGGCCCCATACTCGATAACGCCCCCAAATGTACCTACTCTGTGATTTAAAATGAAATAGAAAAATAGTTATTTTTCATGAGAGAATAAATTTAAACTTACTTAAAGGCTACTCGTAGTCTCAATTCATGATTGAGCATTTTCCTAGTATAACTGAAAGAAATATATGAATGTGGTAATCCAACTTGTACCGAGAAATTGTAAAGACCCGTTTCTGAAAATTCTCCAGATTATTATCACAAAATACTTTACCTCTAAGAATTAAAAAATAAATATCATATTAATAAATCAAACCTGTGTCCCTAATAACCGATGTTGACACTGAAGATTTGTACCCTGTATTATAGGTGAAGTATCCTACAGAATGTTTATCAATTTGCATTGCCAGAGCTACAAATTATGTTTTTTAAAAAACAATGGATTGTTTAATATAAAAACGATTCGACTTACTGGAAATAAAACCAGGTCTTATACCTTGTGGGGTAAATTGTAATACTGTACCTCCATTCCAAAAAAATCGTTTACTCAATGTACGAAAAGCTTTAAGAGAAACTGAAGGACCATTTCCTAAAGCAGTGAATTATACAAGAGCCTTAAAATGAAATATTTCTTTTATGTGTCTTATTATAGCATACCTGCTCCAATTTCCATTTCACCCCAACTCCTATGAGAAAAGATATGCCTGCAACTGAGGCTAATCACGCCTCCTCCTGTACCATTATGTGTCTGAAGTTGTCCTGACAACGTCGCAGTATCTTTTTGAGTTAAAGGAAACTCAACAGATTGATTAAAACTCATGCCCGATACTTCAATGTTTGGAAGTACTGAATTTTCTTCAATCTCATATTCATCTTGCACCCCATACTCGTTAATATAAGGGTTGAATAAATCTGTGGCGTTAATGTTCACGGTAATGGAACCGTGAGGATTTGTACGCTGCTGTTTTCGCCTCTCAGCCCTCTCCTCAGCAAGCTGCTCATATTCTGCTCTTATTTCCGCTGGTGTTTTAGTACGTTGGACTATTTCCCAACCTTCTGTCTCTAGTCCTTTTACCCCTAAATTATCATAAATTGCTCTTTGATGAGGATCTGATAATACTAAAATGTAATAATAATAATAAATTAACTATCCATTAGTACATTTATTAAAAACTTAAATATAGCAAAAGATATTGCTTATAAAATATTACTATACATAAAGATCCAAATGAGCTATTTACCTTCATATGCCTTTTTTGTCTTATTAAACAGTATTTCAGCTTTCTGCTTCTTTTCAGGATCAAGATGTTTATCAGGATGGTAAATTCGGCTTAGCCTTCTGTAAGCATTGTTAATCTCTTCTTTGGTAGCCTTATGAAAATTATTTAGTTAGCAGTTAGTTTATTTTAATTAATTAGAACAAACTCACCTCCTTAGAAATATTTAAAAAAGCATAGTAATCATCTTGTAATAATGCACTTTCGTCATCACTATCAAAATCCATAATGCCTTTTCACTGAAAATATTAGTTATTTAAAAAAGACGTCATGAGGTTTGCTTATGATAGTAAATCACAAATTTAACTGAAATTAAATGAATGAATTCACTGCCCAGCATGAAATAATTTTTTCAAAAGAATAAAAACGGCAATTTTGTCAAAAGTTTAAAAAACAAAAACTACCAATGTCGCAGATTTTCGACATTCAGTGTTAACACAGCAGAATATTGTCAAACAAAAATAATGTAAGTACTGTTATTGTTAAAAGTTCTGTAATATATTAATGTACAACTTACCGAATGTTTGCACTACGGTTTGTTCTATATGGAAAAAATATTTTACATAAATAACGATTTTTTTTTATTGAAAATCGAAAGGTAATTTAATATATTACTTGTCCTATTAAAATGAATGAGATGAATAAGATGTTACGTTCAATAACGTAAATAATAACTTATTTTATCTATTCTTTTGAATTACACAACCCGACATTTTACAATTTTTAGGTTAGTACAGGTTATTTTTTTGATACAAGTGGTAAAGGACGGAACTAGTACAATTATTAAAAAATGATAACATTTTTAAAATAACGCTCAGAACATAGATAAAAGAGAATTATTTGAACTTCTCATCAATAATGTCCTTTGCACAAATTTGTAGAATGTGCTTAAAGAAAAATAATGACTTAAAAGATATTTTTATGGTGGAATTATTAGGTGGACGACTAATTTCGATAGCAGAAGCTCTACATACGTTTATTTCAGTTCAGGTTGTATGCCACTTTTTTAAAGAATAATTATCACATTATTTAAAGGTTCTAGATTGATACAAATGATGGACTTCCTCAACAAATATGTGTGGAATGTATAAACAGATTACGTGAATTTTATTCTTTTAAAAGAACATGTGAAGACTCTGATAAAAAATTAAGAATCATAAAAACTGACTTAGAGATTGCAGACAATGATACTGACTTAATAAATGATACAAATGTACGTGGTAACTATTAATCAATTAACTATATCTAATTATCAATAAAATTATTGTATATTTTAGAGTATTGAAGATGGTAGCAACAATAAAAAGAAACATTGTAGGAAATACATTACAGTATCATATTCAAATAAGCTGTAAGTGAGTTGAAATATTTATGTTGTTTCCTTATTCTTATTTTATTTCAATATTTTATGAAGATGGCAGAGATTAGAAGATAAGGAGAATTCTGGTCAGGACTTTAATGATCAGAAACGAAAGAACTTAGTTAAACTAAATGAAAAGAAATCTTGTAAAAATAACACATGTTTTACATGTAACAAAAGTTTTAGATTTGCCAGCATTTTGGAAAGACATAAACTTGTACACACTGGAGAAAAACCGATTTTGTGTAATATTTGTGGTTGTAAATTTACTCAAATGTCATATTTAAAAATACATTCTCTAAAACATACAGGAGAAAAACCATATAAATGCAGTGTTTGTGAAAAGAGTTTTGCTGCAAGAGGAACCCTAAAGAGTCATATAAGAACACATACAGGAGAAAAGCCGTTTGTGTGCAAGATATGTGGAAAACTTTTTCCACAGTCTGGGTATTTATCATCCCACATAAGAATTCACACTGGAGAGAAGCCTTTAGAATGTAAAGTATGCTTGAGAAGATTTAATCAAAGTAGTAGACTGGTAACTCACATGAGAATACATAGTGGAGAAAAACCATATTCGTGCTCCTATTGCGGGCGTAATTTTGCTATCAAGGGAACACTGACCAAGCATATTAGAACTCATACCGGCGAGAGACCATATATTTGCAGCATTTGCGGACAAACATTTGCACAAAATGGAACTTTATTAACTCACATGAAAACTCACAAGGATTTAACTACAACAAACAAATAACAATAAATGTACACGATTTTAAATGTATTTTTAAATAAAAACTAATATAAAAATAAACGGCAATTGGGAAAAAAAATGACAACTGACGACTGACAATTAATTACCTAACCTCAAATTTTAGACGAAAAAAAAAGTACGGTTAATTTTGTATGTTAAAGCTTACCGGAAAACTATATTTAAATAAATGAGTGTTGTATTAAGCTTTGTACTACTAATTTAAATAATTAATGTATTTTCTGGTGTGTGCACGTGTTTTATGACTTTTTGTAAATGGCATCAGATTCTGAATCAAACAGAAGTGTTAGTCCTGTTGGTCATACAACGGCACCCACACCAGGGTACAATTTAGACCGGTCTCGTTCTAATTCTCCTAATTATGATAATAATGCACATAACAATCGTTCGAGATCTTCTTCAGTAAATTCAAATGCATCTGAAAGATCTCAGAGTGGAGTTTCAGAAAGATCTGGATCTGCCGCCTCAAATCGGTCGGAATCTAGGAAATCTAGATCGCAATCAAGAAGTGTAAGATCAAACCGTACCCCTTCAAATGAATCACAGAAATCAAGGTCAGTTTCAGTTCAATCTAACAGATCTTCTGGGTCAAACCGATCAAGAAATTCCTCAATAGCATCAAACAGGTCAAGATCACAATCAGCAGTTTCTGAAAAGTCTATAGAAAGTGGTAAAAGTAAATCTCAATCACCACAATCAAATCGGTCCCATTCTGTTGCATCTAACAGGTCAGGATCTGTTGCATCTAATAGATCTCGATCAGCAGCCTCAAATAGATCAAAATCTCCAGATTCAAATAGATCTGGATCAGCAGCTTCAAACAGATCCAGATCGTCATCTGTGCACTCTAATAAATCTGCACCGTCACAAAAATCCAGATCACCATCTGCAGATTCCAACAGGTCACGGTCACGTTCTGCTGTTTCAAACAAATCAAGATCTGCTGAAAGTTCCCATAGTTCAAGATCTCACTCTGTAGGTTCACGTAGGTCGAAGAGTGCAGAGTCAAACAAATCTGGGTAAGAATCTTTAATTTTTTTTATTACACACAATTTAAAATAGGTTACTTTGTAGAAGAAAAACTCCTGATAGTAGATCAAATAGCCCCAACCTACAAATTGATGCAGGCTCACCAAGTGACCATGAAGACCAGAAACGTAAAAGAGATAGTTCAGAAGAAAAAGAAACCAGAAAAAAGACTAAAATCCTTTCCGATAGCGAAAATGAGGGAGAAAATGAAAATGGGAAGAGTAAGATAACAATGGTATTTTAATTTAAACATTATTCTTACAAATTCTTGATATTAAGGTGAAGAACCTAGTGCTGCAGCACTGTTCGGAGATGCTGACGATATAAGTAGTGAAGAAGAAAAGGAGAAGGAAAAGGCAGTAGAAAAAAAAGACGATATGGACAAGGAAGGGGATAGTGAAAATGAAGCTCCAGAGAGACGTTCTGAAGATGAAGAAGAAAATGAACAAAGAGCTATAAACGAAGATGTACGTTTAACAGGAAAATGGTTATAAAATAAGCAACTAAATTTTGTTTTAGGAAGAGGAGAAAGAAGTGGAAATACCAGAAACGCGAATCGACGTGGAAATACCTAAAATTAGTTGTGATCTAGGGAGAGACATACATTTCGTAAAACTTCCCAACTTTTTGTCCGTAGACACCAGGCCATTCGATCAAGAAACTTACGAAGATGAAATTGACGAAGAAGAAACTTTGGACGAAGAAGGTCGTGCTAGGTACAAATGCTTTACTGTATAAGCTTATAAACTGTTTTCTCAGTACTTTTTTCCCTCCTCCACAGATTAAAACTCAAAGTAGAAAATACAATTAGATGGCGCGAAGCTTTCGACAAGGAAGGCAACTCTATAAAAGAATCAAATGCACGATTTGTAAAATGGTCCGACGGATCTCTGAGTTTACATTTGGGTTCTGAAATATTCGATGTTTATAAGCAACCCTTACAAGTAAATAATTTGTATATATACTTAATATATTTTATTCAAATTAGTATATTTTTTTTATGTATAGGGAGACCACAATCATTTGTTCATTCGTCAAGGGACTGGTCTACAGGGTCAAGCTGTTTTTCGAACCAAATTGAGTTTCAGACCTCACTCGACGGAGAGCTTTACACACAGAAAAATGACCCTATCGTTGGCTGACAGGTCTCAGAAAGTTTCAGGAATTAAAATACTATCCCAAGTAGGGGTGGATCCTGATCAGGACCGAAAAACATTACTTAAAGTATGTAAATTAATCCTAAAATTGTTTGACATTTAATCATTTAATTTTGATTTACAGAAAGAAGAAGAGAAGTTAAGGCAGACAGTAAGAGCTAAGCCAAGAAGAAGAGGTGAAGGTGGCACAAGAACCCACGCCAGGGAAGCATATAGGGAAGAAGAGGGTAGCGACGAAGAAGGGGCGATTTCCCTCAATGCTATTAAAAATAAATACAAGTCAGGAGTAGCAAATCCATCACGAGGTGATCAATATATTTTAAATTGTTTTCTTTTTAACTATAATGGAATAATTATTTACCTTGTTACAGGTAGTGCTATTTATTCTTCTGATGAGGAAGGGTCTGATTTTGAAGCGAGACGTGGCCGAAAAACTGATAAAACCAAAGCCCTGAAAGACTCAGAGTCGAGCGAGACGGAATAATTTTATATAATTTACAATCCACTGACAAGATTGGCTTATTATGTATTTTCCATCATTTTTAATTGGGTCTAATCAAACGTTAAAAAAAAAGTAGCTCGTCAAACAACATGATTTTATAAAATCTCTTAAAAGTTATATACAATTACATATTTTTTTTGCATATAAAACAACATTAGACGTAAAATATGGTAAATCAGAATGCAATAAAAGACAAAAGAAATAATAAAAAAAACCTTAACATTCTTATTATAAACTTAGATAATTTACCGTTTTTTTCTTCCTTATATTAATATAATAATAAGTACCCAATATTAAAATAAAAAAAATGTTATTTGACTCGTCAAATGTGAATAATTTTTTTCTTTTTCATTTTGATTTACAACAGAACAATTAAACTTATTTGCACCTTACAATAAATAATCTTGTACTATAAACAAGGAATAACGGTTAAAAGTATGTAATAAAAGAAGGAAACTAAAGATCAAATGTTTGAAAAACTAGGACTCTATTTTTAAAATATTTAAAGTATTTTGTGCCATGATTTCTCACGTTTTAGTTATCTGAAGACACACAGTTCATACAAAATAAACACTCGTAGTAATTCGTAAAGTTTTAAAGTTATTAATTATATAGTATTATCAACTTTCAAAAGCAAAAAGTAATTAAAAAAATTAACGGTTTTAAGGAAGGGAACAAGAAAAGAATACAGATTAACTAATGTTATTTTGCACTTCAATTATCACAAAATCGCCGACGTTTTTTATTATTACTTTTTTGAGCAACCGATTTATCTTATCTAAATAATTCGATTTAAGGCATTCTATCAATTCTGACTGTTATTACTGTTGGGGGACATAACGATTTGTCTCGCTTGCTCTGGTAACATTTCCGGGTCTGACAAGATGTCAGTTTTCGTGCATAAATACCTTAAGGAATTTAAGACGACTAAAATAAAATAAAACCTTATAGTACCAACATTTTCTAAAACGAATGTAAAATAAAAAATACAGTAACTTACTTGGCCTGAGATCAACAAGAGTGCAGTGCTGCTCTATCCAGAGCATCGTTGAACGGTAAAGATCATCCATACTGGATGTGGAGACAAAATTGTTAAACGATACCAAAAGTGGTTTAAACAGTAAACTGAACTGTAATAAAACGTTAAGGAAAACAAAGTAAAAAATAGCTATAAAGTGATAAAAATATTAAAAAAAGGATACAATCCAAAACTTCCAATCTTCCATCGTTCTTTTTCTAACATACTCATCAAACATTTCTTGCATTTTGCTACTGCGTTTCCTAGATACTGGAGCACCAGTTGCTGGCAGCATTGACTGACAGTTACTGAAATTCAATATACTTATATTATGTTAAAGATAATTAAATAAAAAGTACATGCCTTATAGCTGTGTTAAGTGTTTCAATCTGTTGTCGAAGATTATCCATTTCATCTTTGAGTTGACTCCTTTCTTGCTGTAGTTGCCTGATGTATTCAGCCCCCTTTTGTAGCATTGCCGCTTTACTTAGCTATACAAAAGCTTGACAATAAACATATAAAAAAAAATAGTGACACTTTTATTTACCTTTGTATTGGGATTCTGATTAAGTTGCGGTATAAGAGAATGAATCATGTCGAAACCGTTCTTGATATTGTATCTACGTTTCTGTTCGGCATGAATATGACCGGCTCTTCTCTGATCTCTGCCAAAGGAGTCTCGGGGAGGAGAGTCGGCTTGTGGTGAAGTGGGAGAACTGTGAGAATGAACGGGACTGTTGGAATTCGATGTATTCATTTGACCAATGAACAACTGCAAGAGAAGAACTTTAGATATACTTACTCTTCTAATTTCTAGCAAGGCACTAAAAAAGATCACTTATATGATTCTGTATTTTTCTTACTGTTCTTATTTACATTTGCATATTTTTTCATTTGTTTTTCAAATTTGCAGAACATTCATTTAGTTAGTTTTAAATGCTTACACACATTTAGAAGACTGTTTCCCTTCTCCATAGGTGATAATGCATTTTCTATATTGTATTGTCAATAGTACACAAGAAACCTAAACTTAATGTATTACTACTTACTGGATCGGTACCGGTCGTAGGGGTCGCAAAGGGCCCCGTGTTAATTATAAGTGCACAGGGAACGGGTGATGTGTGAGTTATGCTTGATATTTTCGAAGGAGTAGAATCATCTTTCATTCTGGAGGCAATCGTTTGTTGCTCTTGAGAGGCAGATGTTGAGGAAATGGAAGCGTTTTGGTGTAAGAGAACATTACTTGGTGAATCTATAAAGAACAGAACAATAATTGAATTAATTAATTAATTACCACTACTTAAATATTTATTTGCGGTAATAACTCACTACTGGTAAGAAGTTGTGTTAGTAAAACACTTGTTGAGGGGGTAACTAAAGCGGGATCGCTAACAGCTGATAAAAGTGGAGGTCTTTTGGGTGATTCCCTGGTATGTGACACGGACCTTTGACGGGACGACTTGGTGTGCGTCGATCGTATACAACTATCAATTTTCGAAACCCTCTATAAAGAATAAAATTACAACCGTATAAGTTTGTAAATTTTATTCTTTTCTAACTTTATAAAAATAGAAAACCAAAACTATGTATTACCTGATTTGCGATTTCATTTAGCGCTGGATTGGACTGGCTTCCGCTCGATGCTTTATAACTGTGTGCTGTCTGAGACGAAAATTTTATATTGGGGACGTTTAATGGAGTGGTGAATTTGAACGCTTGAAAGGACTGTTGCTGCTGCTGCTGAGGCTGATGAGGCAGGACGTTGTAAGACACAGTCTCTTGTTGTGGCAGTATTGTTTGTACTTACAAATAAGTTAATAGGTTATCATTTAAATAAATTATGATGATTAATTATTTTCTTACTTTTGACCGAATCAGCTGCGACTACTGAATTCTGAAGGGCATAGTTCGAAGAAAATCCCTGTTCTACTGATTTTCTGTAACTAGAAAACTGCTGCTGTTGTTCAATATGAGTCTGTTTCATGCTCCGAGAAGGCGATAACTTCTTCTTGTTTCCTTTAGATATTGCAGGCATTTGATACGAAGAGTTTGGCGGTTGATAGGTTGCAGGAGGTGGGGGAGGAGGAAGAGGAGGCGGTGGTGTGGTTGGCGAAGGAGTTTGAGGTACAAACTGGACCATGGAAGGCGCTTGCAACACCATATCGTTATCATAAGACGCCAAATCCTGTTGCTTTTCTAAAGATACCGCCTCCATAGGTTGATATTGGTCGATTATTTCAGAAGAAGTCAAAGAATTGATCTAAAAATGTTTTTATTTGTAAAAACAGACGTAAAGAGATAATAGGTAAATTATAGTTACGTTTGAGTTGCCCTCTAAAAGATCCAGATCAGAATAACACCAATTAACGATCTGTTGATTTTCTTGTTTACAATTAATATCTGATCCGTTTTCCTCAGGCACCGTTGGCAATTTACATGAAATGAACTCTGCATGAAGACAGTTTAAGAAATGGAATCTCACACACAACAGACAATCATTCGTTTACCTTGTAGCGGCTCGAATGTGTCCATGTAATCGTCGAGATTGGGCTGCAGTGGTCCCAAACTGGGTTGTATGAAATCCGCAATTCCCGCTCTTGCTAAATAGTAACAAAGATTTTTAGATAAAGAAGATCACCGATAAATACCAGTTTAATACATGTTTACAAAATTTTTTATTTACATGAATTGTTTAGATTTTTTTACCGATAAAATAAAAATAATAACTGGTAATGCCTTTACCTATTTCACGAGAATCTGGAAAAACAAAGGGCTGGTTGGTAATTGTAGAAAAGAGAGTATCGCTCATTAGGCTCATATAATCCTCATCCACCATCATGTTCATACTGTCGGAGCTTTGTGAATGCCACGTTAACGCATCTAATTCGCTCAACTGAAAAATAAACTAATTACAGCTTTTATAATATAAGTAACAATATCGTTTACAGTTTCCAAATTGTCTTTGAGGGACTGTCCCGAAATTTGTGCTCTGTAAAACATTCGCCATTTTTTATATTCCGCTGTAACGGCTGCTAATTTTCTTTTCCAATATTTTCCTTCTAATACAATAGCCTGTAAACACTCAAAAAATAATGCCAATTTTTAATAATATGTTAAATAATTTACTTCAGGTTTGTTATGGGTGTCAACATCCAGCGGAGAGGCAAACTGACAAACCAAAGTATTATGCTTCTTGATAACTAAAAAAAAATTCTTTTACACAAATGATTTTCTAAATACCTTCAAATATTACATTGCATATGCCAACATCTCCAAATAACATTGTTCAATCTAATTTTGTCTTTCCATCTTAGTCTTATTCCTCGAAATCTATTCCATTTTGGTGAAGTAAGCTTCTGTCTATATTAAAAATGGAGAAGAAACAATTAGTATTTATTTATTTTATTTATATCCAAAAAAGTTATTTATAAAATATACTCAACTAATTATTTTTCAGATTTACTTTTATTATCATAAAGTAGCTACTTTAGACAAATATCTAGGAAGGGCAATCTTTTTTCTTTAATATTTTAATACTTAGTAGTATATGTTATAAAATGAATACATAAGTAAACAATAAAACTTGTTCCTTCTTATCAATTAATTAATATGATATACAGAACAATGTAATTACAAATGATTGCAAGAAAGTTACGTAAACAAGACAAGCAGATTTACATCAAACAATTTACCTTGTTCAAAACATGATAATAAAATGAAGAATTTATCATGATTGAATATAAATCTAACATTAATGTCATGTATGTTTTTTGAAGATGTAACATGTGTTCTATGTGTAAAACACATCAAATCATAAAATAATTATATAAGCTTAACTTTATCTTTAACTAGTATTACTTCGAGGGAATTATCTAAAAATCAATAATAGCAATGATATAAACAATGACAATAAAAATATGGCCTTTGGACATACCCTTTCTAAAATAAATGTGAAGCATTAAGAATAGAAAAGTAATGTTCTTATTTGAACTGTTATCTAATAAAAAGAAAAAATAACCCACCTGTAAGCTATTGACATACACTGGAATAATTTGGCCAAACTAGTGTCGATAGACAACTGATGAGCAAGTTTAAAGACCTTATTAATGCGTTCAACTGGAATATCGCTTGTTTCTCTGATTAGAGGATCTTTAACTTCATCTTCTTCAGGTATTGGAACTGCTACTTCATATTCATCATCTTGTTCTTCAGCTTCGAAATGTGAAACCATAAAGTGCCCAGAATGTATAGCTTCCTTTTCAGATTTGTTAATTGCATCCATTTCCCTTTTTGCAAGAACAAACATATTGTATGGTAGTTTTATAAAATCTACACGTTTTTAATAGTCAACGCAAAACTACATTAACTTTAACACAAACAAAAGATCAAGGACTGATTACGAGGGTCAGATTAAAACTGTCGTTTGACATAAACATAAACCATAGATAAAGATCGATAATGATAATAACAACCGAAATAAACAAGTGCGGGTTTCTTATTATGGTTTTATAGAGAGCAGCACAACACACTTGGCTATATAATGGGTTGCCTATACACCATCGCTATATTTTGGCGGTTCAATAATTTAAATTAGAAACCATTCAAATTTGTATACTTTATGTTAAAATAGAGATATAAAGCAAATAAACACAATTAATTTTCCTACATACTGCAAAATAAAGTGTCTTCTTATACACATTTGTGTGATATTTTAGAGTTAACTTATGTCATTAATTATACTTTTGTTGCCATTTCATTTGATTATTTTTATGTATTTGCTAGTATAAAAAAGGAAACAGCCACTTCCAAAAATAATTTATTTTTGAAAACAAAAGTTAATTTCTTTGGATACTTACAACAAATGAGAATAGTTTCCTTCTTTTTTGAGAATAACATAACATAATAATAAAGACAGTAAACTTATATTTTTTATATAAAACTGAACAACCAACAAAACAAAAAATCCGTTGAGTGATATTGAAGTAAAACTTTTAATTGAATATCAAAAAATGATAAATAATTTTTACTTTTTTTTCTAACAGAGATTTTTATGTTGAGACATTGTAAATACCTACTTCAGTCGAACGTCTCGTTTTTATTATCAAATACTAAACGGGAACTCCAGGTATAGCACAGACAGAGCAATTACTCATATTATTCTGATTTGAAGACGGTACAGAGAAGATTATAGAACGTATTAGACCGTCGCGAACTGAGTCACAATTCTGTCCCTGACCAAACGTAAAAACGACTCCGTTACACGTCGATTGAAGGGTATATGTACCAATTGTATACCATCCCATTTTGTGAAGCACAACACCCACCTTATAAACCTACAAAAACATCGATTAGCTTCATGATAGGCTCTATAAGAAAATAATTAACTATGTAGCTACCTTGTTCTTTTGAATGTATATGGGTCTGTTGAATGATATATTGATCAAAGATCGATAATTGACTCTACTGGTGAAGTGTGTATAAGTTAAACGACTTCCATCTGCATCCAGTAAATGCGCATATAAAAGTTCTGCATAAGATGCCCCAACTGCCACTTGCCTATCTTCCTCAATTATTGTCTGAGCTGGAACCTGCGACCGCACAAATACAAGTCATAGAAATAAAATTAGTTCCCAATAGTACCTGTATACCAAATACGCAAATGTTTTTGTCGCATGTAAACGTGACAGCACAGTCCAGGACGCTAGTGTTCATACATTCTGTGACACGGAGCATTTCTCGCGTACAATAGTATTTGTTGGAATTTTCGTTGCTACCCTCTTCGGAAAAAACGTTCATACCAGGCTGGTATTGTATCATGGACGTTCTGGATGTGTCCATTGCTGGATTACCCTGCTCATTACAATAATATAACCACCGCTATAAAATTTACCCGTTCACGACGTACCATATACAGAGAATTGTACATGGGATCGTTTCGTTGATTCATCGTGGAGCTTTTCTTTTGTCTATGCTGTCTGGAGGTTGAGAAACCAGAAGGCATGGGTACCGTCGCTGAAGATGATGAGATGTTCATTAGTATGGCAAATTTCTCCGACTCTGTTAAAAGAGTAGATGAGGCAGGGCCTTCGGCGAAGGCTTTAGGTGTTAAAGTTAAGAATCTTATTTTCATTATTGCATCTTTGAATGTTGGATATCGTGTATTTCCTTCAGTGTTACTTGTAGAAGACCCTAAATTCATAATTACATGTTAAAAACAAGAGTGTGGTTCCCATTTCAGTATTAATTATTTTTTCATTTGTTGCTATTAATTAATGAATGAGAAGATGACATTGCTATTTATCGTGCGTGAAAATAAACAACAAATGATTGTTAAGCAAAATTAAATAAAAATGTGTGAAAACAGTGATATAATCAATATTATTAAGTAATATGTAATGTTTCATTATTTTGATAAATAACATTTTGGTTTTGTAAAATATTCTAATTTAAAGTAGATGGTAGAAGAACAAGTTTTTTAGCATTGTGATATTTTTTGAAACATAACAAGTCTTGATGCGCTCTTAGCACTGTGTACCATCAGATACCAATTAAATATACATACATAAACACAGTAATGGATGATTTAGAGAAATTAGCACGTAGAAGCTTCCGATTATACATTTTTAAAAAGTAATACTCACATTTCTTATATTACATTTTAAGATCCATTATACCTACATATTAATCAAAGAAATAAACCGCAGTTAAAAAAATAATTACTGAGTTAAAACAACTACTATCGGGATTTGTTAAATAATAGTTAATAAATTAAGCACAATTACCTATACCATCTAGTCTAGGTACTTTCGCACCTGAACTCTGACTATGTCGATTTGCATATCTAGTGATAGCATTAAACAAATCCAACTCCGAGTTTATGTTTAATGATTCCTGATCAAATACTGTCAATATGGTGCTGAATTCTACATCATCAAAACTGCTCTCTGAAAGGACTTCAACAGTTTGGTTGCAGATTATCTGTAATTTTAAACTATAAAACAAAGTTTAATATAATACAATAATGCTTACATTTAAGCATTTTTCCATTAATACAGGTTCTTCAAAGAGTTTTGCAAATTCATAGGCACGACATGCATTCTTTGGATATAAATCGGACCACAAATACTTGGTGCATTCTTCCACTAAATGAGGAAGCATATACTTTTTTGCTCCATAACACAATTCACAAGCTTGATCAAATGATGAAAGGTTTATGCGGTCTGTGTAGATGTATCTAGAAGTTTATTTATTTATACAGAAGAATCCTTTTCATGTGATAAATAATTAGAATTAATAAAAACAATAGTTGTTAATTTCTAAAGTTTCAGAAATATTATCTTTGTATTGAGTAACATCAGTACTTACACTTTTGTTTTTAATTCACATTCATAAAAGTATTGATTAAGAAAAATATTTGGAAATAACTGCATTTTTAGAGTAGTTTTAAGGATGTTTACTTATATGTGTAATATCTCATGAGTTAATTGGACTGTATGGAATCTTACTCTAGTAAAGCTCTAAAAGCATCAGGCTGAACATCTAGGATAGCTATAGGGTCTTTTTCAGGCATTCCTCCATAAAACATTGCTTCAAAAACAGGACTTGACATGGCTAGAAATAATTTGTGCCCCTCAAATACTTGTTGATGGGGCTCTGTGCCGACTATAAACCGACAATCACTCCATATACCTGCTTCTAAAAGATACTGCCCCCTTTCTTTTACCGTTTTCCTTACAGTTTGCCAGTCACAAGGAGCTGCCATCTAAAAATTGTAAATGTATAATATTGTTATAAGGATCGAGATTGGATTATTTTATCTACTCTTCGTTTAAATTGTTGCTGTGTCTTTCAGAAAATGAATGTTAAACGGATGAGTATTTTTTATTTTTAGAGTATTGACGTTTTTAAAGTAGTAAATTGCCCATTCTACGCAAATAATTGATAAATATTTTCTATATGTCAATAATTCGACAGTTGCGTCAGCTGGATGTCAAATTAGTAAAATAGATCTAAGGTTCTAAGAAATTGGTGTATCTATGATTATATGATCCATATCTGATCCTAGTAACAATATAATTTTAATACATGTATATATTTTTAATATGTACCCAGATCGTTTTCAGCGTACAAAACCTTCGATAATATTAATAAAAACGAAAATAGTTGATAGATTACAATTTGCGTGATTCATTTGTGCTACATTTAAAATCTACTTTTATTTTAATCACAAAAAGAAAAGAAATTTTTGTAGATCCCTCTTCATAAGACTCCTTTTACGTTTCTAAGTACTTGACCAACATTGACCATTAATTTGCTTTGAGCGAAAAACGCGCCAGTAATGACTAAATTAATAATTAATTAACAAAACCATTATACTTGCACAGCATGATTGCCATAAATATAACTGCCAACATGATAGGCAACACATTATACTTGCAGTGGTACAATTATTCTGAAGTAATTTCTGTCTCTCAAATACTTGTTAATGACACTCAGTATCCACAATAAATCTGCAATTACCCCTTACCCTTCTCTCTAAAACATTCTGCTCCCTTTTTTTTACTATTGTCCCTACAGATTGGCAGTCACAAACAGCTACCATCTAAAAATGGGCAGTGCTTAATGTTGTTACAAAGATGAAAAAAAATTAAACTTTTCCATTATGCTAATTTGCTCAATTAATAAATTAGTTACTGTTTAACTAGTTAAACACAAAAAAAATCATTTATGCCACAAAAATTCAAAAACGACCGGCATGTAGGGGATTTTTCTGATTTTATACTTTTTGGAAACATTAAATAACTTTTTATTTTATTAGTATCATTTACGAATTGCTATTTCACTAAAATTAAGTTATTTAAAGAATGTCCGTTGGCACCATATTTGTGTTTTCAAGAAATAATTTTTGAAAATAATTATCGCTTCCTCCTTTACACTAGTAATTACAATTACAATACAAAGGATAAAATTCAATAGGGATAAATATAAGCTTTAAAATAACACAAAATTAATTATATTTATTTGATACAATAACATAATAACATATTCATTAGCATTGTGATATT